TTAGCAGCTCAGCTGCAGGTAGACAGATAAGGCAGACATCAAGAAGATTTGCCTATTCATGTGTGCATGGGTAAAGGAGTCAAGTAATGACTATTAGTTCATTCTGTTTGCCCAAATGTAACTGGTCCTCAGCTGAGAGACATAAGAGAAGAAAAAGCATGACTAAAGAAGGTCAGGGTCTGCACTGGGGGTGGTGTGTGGTATATCGGTCTTTTCTGCACTTTTTTAAATGTACCTTCAGAGGGAGAGTGGGTCCTCTTTGTTCTGGCAAGTATTTTCATGCCAGGTTAGAGGGAGGAAAAAAAACAAAACAAAAAAACACTCAGCTCAGCATTGATTTGGAGGAGCAGTACACAGCTACAGTACAAGTAACTTTACTTCTGCAGAGACGCTGGCTACTCTGGCACCCATGGCTGGCTCTGCAGCTCTGGCCATACATCCGGCAAAACACAACTGCTGCCTCCGGCTGTCTCCCAAAAGCCTCTTGCGATAACGAGGGAGGAGGAACAATAACTAAACAGCTCACTAAAGAAACAGGCAAAGATGAGATTGGCAAAGGAAATGGGTGATACTTTTGGAGCTGCAAGGAAGTCTTCAGGTCAGAGAAAGTTTTCAAACGACTGTTTGGGTTTTTAGGATCTGAAGAACAATTAGGTATGTGGCTTGTAGAAGAGAAACCCACCTCCAGATAAGCACTGGGTTAGAGGGAAGTGATGATTACCATATTATTCTTCTCTCATATTGAAGCAAATTTAACTGAACTAGAAGAGAAAGCCCTGAACCAGCTCCAGGGTGTGGTGTTCCTTTTTCCTGGGTTGTTGAAGACAAGAATCTACACTTCATATTGCTATAATTACGATCTTTATCTCTTTCACTAAGTCGCCACCATTCTAAGCTGTTTGTGTAGATTAAGCCTGAGCCAAATTCATGTCCACCCAGTAACAATAGCCATTAACAGCCCTGCTATAGCTGCAAAACCCACCATTCTCTCTCTAAAAAGGGAAGAAACTTATTAAAGTATCTTATTTTTATTTGGTTTTTAAATGTGCTGTGAAAGCACGTCTTAACAGCTCTAATTTTGAAATCTATGCATTTCACTGAATAGGTAGGTTATCTCATGCAAGAGCCAAACAGGTTTATCAACAAGACATTAAGCATGGCTCCCACACGCCCTGTGCATTCCACCTGGAGTAATTCCAAAGTCTATATACCAGCATTACATTTGTAACAAAATTAAACATGAAAAAGACATAACTGAGGTAACCATACGCCATGTGTTAAGATGCTAGAAACAGGTGCTAGAAATGTACATAACATACATTCACTATAATGATTATTCAATTGAAACAATATACCAGAAACATTATATTATGCTAAATACATTAATAGGGCTATTAATATAGAAAAATAAACATACACTTACAGTAATAGCTTACTTTAAGGACAGAAACAAGCTCCCACTAGACTACAAGGAGGACTACAATAGCCAGAACTACTTCAACAAACGGGAAATTCAGCTGAAGACAAAATTATGACATTAACTCAGCAGAAGAGCTACTGGCATAAACTCACGTGTCCGAGTCCATGTTGGCTAGCAGGTCTACTTCCCTTAAAAGTATTTGTACTAACTTGCTAACTGTTGCTTTTTTGCACCTACTGAGTAGCTGACTAGCCCTAAACCTTCCCTCATTCAGATAGTAATGGTATGTCTAAAGTTATAGCCCAAAACTGCCTTCTGTGCAGAGAAAAAAAAATACAAACAAGTAGGGGACAGGAAATACTGCAAGTTCCTGTTTGTCAAGTTTCCCCTGAACCATTTTCATCAGGATAGGTCTTCTCTGCTATGCGAAGCAAATACAAAAGTTTGAACCCTAAACAAATGACCATTTACATGTCAGCTGAGATCCTGCACTACTGTTCCCACAGCTGGCAACTCATGGATTCCCAAACTGTGTTATTCTTGCTAAACATGCCAGAAGAGTAACGCTAGTAAGGTTAGCATTCTTATCCTCCAATTCCAGCCTCTCTTACCCTGTTATGCTAGATGAATTACAAGGAAAATGTCACATAAATGAAACCGAAGATTCCCTCACCATTATACCACATCCTCTCTTCCATGAATGGGACAGTGAGGTCCACAGTGCTGGAAGTACAACTTGATGACACTCAAGATTGTAGGAGTAATGCTACTAGGCTGAATTTCATGTTGTCCAGCTTTGCACGTGCCTAGTTGACAGACTGTTTTAAGGACTTTAAGAATTATGCTTAGAGTAACTTTCATTATCTTCTGTCAGTTAACAAAGCCTTTCATTTTCTGCTTTGCACTGTACTTGAGCTATGTGCATGTTATGATAAGGATTAGAAATTAAAAAAGAAAAGTAAAATCCACCCTTTCTAGAGAAATACTTGAAGAGCAAGACCTATTTGCTCGAAGTTATTGAGGCAGATCCCAGAGTTCTACCCTACAATTATTTGTAGAGTTCTGTTAAATTATCAGACTTTTACTTGCATTTTAGCCATTTACCAATAAAGTCATCAGATTCAGGACTGAAAATCCAGGCTGTTACCTTGAAGAATTTCTTCTCATATAGTGCGGCATAAGCAACAATGAACACCAAAGGACTTTAGTTTCACTGGCCTAAGAACTGACATATTAATCTAGGGAAAGAATTTCTCTTAACCAGAAAATAAGCACAATTGAGGTAGTGTTAACATCTTGTTATTTCCCTTTCCTCACTCAAACTCTCACTCCTGCACCATAAGCTGCTCTGCTAGAGATGCTTGTATTAACTCCACTCCCCTTGATGCCTGTTCTCGGGGGGCCAGGGTGTTTCAACTGTTGGGAGCTAGACAGGGCATGAGAGTGTTCATCAGGTATGACAAAACATTCAGCATCTTACGGGACTGTACCTAGCATAACTTCTCTTTAAGACACAGCAAAGTTCGATCGTGTCTTACTCCATTTAATCTATTGTGACTATTTATGGTGAAGCATAAGGATGCGCTAGTAAGACATCACCAGAAGTAAGGCTACCACAATCTAGGCCCATCACGGTCAAAATTACAAGGGGTAAAGATAAGATAAGGTTTGCAGTTCTTTATGGCTAGGTCTAAGTTTTTCATAGGGACTGCCTGCTTCAGGCTGCCTTTCAGAGTTAGTTTCAGTTCAAGTGATCCAGAGAAGTAACTGAACAGAATTGAGGGAAGTTTGGTGCTTGCCTGTTACTTTATTTTTCAGTCGGGCAGCAGTAATCCTCTTCATGCTTTGAGAGAGCGCTTTGATGGCAAGAGAGAACTGCTGTGATGGCAAGATGGAGCCATTTGACTCCTGACCCAGAACCATAGGCCTCTGATATCTCTCTGCACTTTCACATTACACAATGTTTCACTATTTATTTCTCTGAAGACTCCATTTGGATAAAACAGACCCTCACAAGTCACAGTGCATCTGACACAAGGGAACTGTCAATATGCCATCTCCACCAAGGAGCTGCACCTGCTCCATTCAAGCACAGCTGAGGATGAACAGAAGGTCACCTAAGATGTAAGGCTGGCACCAGGTTCTGGAGCTGAGGACGAGCTGGTGGCCCACATATAGGATCCTGGCTGCGAGTACACTGACACAGTCCAGGAGAGCAGAGCTCTGAATGAAATAGAGCTCTGATAGGAAAAGGAAAGAGTACATGACCACATAACTAAGCAGTATTTTGTAATACATTATGCATAAGCAAGTTGCATTGGAGTTGCACAGGCAACTTTGAAACTGGAAACGCTTAACATCTGAGTGCTGGATTTTTCCATTTTTAAAACGTTCTTTTAATCACCCTTGACAAACATGTCTAGATAGAAATTTGACTCTTAAAAGATCAAAGTTTAAGACTACAGGTTTGACAGTGTCTTCATGGGACAGAAAGAGTGGTCCATTCGGCTCGACTCACTTTATATGTTAAGAACATGTTCCCTGTGTTGGGTCACACAACCAGACATGGGACATACCCTCTCCTCTCGTTCACAGTCACTTCCAGTCCTACAATGGGAGATCTGCAGCTTCAGATAGGGAGACTCTAAAGTATGGGAAAAAATACAACAATTACCTTTCTGTCCGGACATGGAGCTTGTCCCTGTAATATAGGGTGTCCTATAATTCACAGATCAGGTGGCAAACCCGAACACATTACAAACCTGTATTCTTTAGATTAGTGCAGAGAAGACGATGAAAAGATTTTAGCACAGGACTGTCTAGAGTTAAAAAGAATATTACATTCAGCCAAAACTGAAGGGGCAGTTATCATTTAGATCTCATAACAATCTCTGGTTAGTTATGTGGTTACCTTGGAGAAGGGAGGAAAAAAAAGTTCTTCTTTTGTTTAGTAAGTATAAGTGGTCAGGGATTGGTCCCAATCCAAACTGGAAGTGAGCAGCATGTTTCCCAGCAGCGCTGAGTCCCTGTGAGTTCTGCCTGGACCATGGTTCAAAAGGAAGAGCCCCACTTCCTGCAGCACTCAAAGCCAGTTTCTTCTCTGCCCTATATTCAAGCGCAAATAAGGCCCAGATCTAAAGTGTTTTTATGATTTAATCAGATCACATCTTCACATCTTGCAATAGGCACAGAGTTGAGCAAAACCTCTCCTGACAGGAAACTATTCTGTGACCTACTTGAACATACATCAAGTTATACCATAACTGTAGCAAAGTGGTACCCATTCATACAACCCGCTGACAACAGAAGCATGAATGAGGAAAAGTGGAAGCGCCAAGAAAGCATTCAGCCCAGGCGCCATATACCCACTGGCTCCCTGAAACTTTGCTTCCTGTGTTTGTTTAACACTGCATAGGATTTTTCACCTTAAGAATTGAAACTACGTGGCCCAGCTAGCAGCCCACTGCTTTTCCTTGGAAGAGGGGCTGCGACTGCCTCCAGAAGCCAAATAAGCCTCTTGGCAGTCACCAAGAGCTTCCTCCCATGGCTGCTCTCGACAGACCGGGAACAAGTCTCGTACCTCAGCAGCCAGCCAGGCCCACGCTCCTCCAGGCTGTCTCTCCAGACAGCATCTTGTCTCCCTGGGGCAGGCTCAAAACCCAGCTCTCCCACCCACAGTTACCGAGGCCAGACAAGCTGAGGTAGACGTGGGCTTCACTGAACCTCCCAAATATACAACAGTCGTCCACAAAAGAGTGTCTTTTCGGCAACGTAGTTTTTTCTCCTGAAGGGTGAGTATTGTTGAAACAAAATACTTTGTTAGCAACGTCATTCTTGACAAGGAAGGTAAACCTTGTCCCTAAGAGACAGACCTATTCCCAAGAGACTTCTGTTACTCTTGGAGAGATTTCATGATCCTATTTGAACATACCAGCCACTTCACTGTGTGAGGAACTGACCTCTCTTTCTTATTCCATCATGCCTCCACTTACAAGGAATTGTAAAAAACCCATTTTTCCCCCTCAAAGGGTCTCTTATGAAGATGCTATTCTCCCCATATGTAAAAGTCCATTTGTTTTTTTTCCAGAGTTTTGCCTCACATGATAATGTTCCTGCTTCTGCATCCTGACTCTGAATCATTGCCTGTGAGTCTGAGGCAGAGGATGACCGAGTGTTGCCAGAGCTGTAATCACCACGGGGCAGTGGTCAGTTGCAAGTCACCCATTCCCAGGTCCTGCTTTGTCAAGCAGGACAGAAAGCTACTGCCTTTTCCTTCATAAAATGCACTTGGAAAAAAAAAAAAAGACCAAAAACAGAGGAGCAGGGTGCAGGTCTGAGGAGAGTATAGCAAACCAGGGATTTGCCCCGAGAACTAACACCCTCTGTTCATCAGCAAAAATACATTTCTCTAGACCTGGCTAAACATTTGTTAAAAGCAGGTTCAATTTCATCAGTTGTGCCAAGTTATGTTAGTAACATAACTAAGGCCTGATGCTAGCATTACACTCTGGTCGTGAGAATTAAGGTAAATCAGGCTGATCCCTTTGCAATAAGTAGTGCTGTCACACTGCAGTCAGCAGAACGACAGTTTCGTCCCTTGTGCTTCGCATAACATAGGAAGTTACGGGCATCAGCAAGCCATTTAAAGAAATATTGTTGGTCCACAGCTTTTGTGGTACAATAACTGACCACTGCTGTTACTTTGGGCAGAATTACCAACACCTTGGCTACAAATATATGCATCAACTAATACAAATATCTGTAGTACAAATTAAATCATACAATGGTTGTCCTTCAGAAGCATGCAAGTTCTTTGAACTATAAAGACAACAGGCAGAGAAAAAAAATGATATATATGTATCAGGCCTTCTTCCTCATGGCAACCTTTATCCTGCTTTGTCAAGGTATTGCTTTCTAGCTCATTTGATTTTAATATCATTATTTTCTTACCCTATTTCTGCAGGAGAGCCATTGTAGACTGTTATAAGTGATACTTTGGCACACACAAACTTGTGGCTTTTCTAAAGCACAG